AGTGGCTTCGTTCCTGTTTGTTTTGAATCTCAATAAAATCCTTGTTATCCCTGCAACTGATTCCTCTTCCTTTACCACCCCTGACAGCATCTCTTTCAATGTTAAACTTTTGTTTTCTCTTTTAAGAGACAACTTTGGCAACGTGTCACGCAGTTTACGGTTCATCAGTATTTCGGCAGGAGATAACCCACAACCAAGTGGGGAGGAACGATAACTCAACAATGCCAGATATTCATCCGAATTGCTTGCAGCTGCTTTTTTCAACAGTCTTTTTACAATTTGCACCCCCCTTTCTGCTTTTCCATTTGCCTTTGGATAAAGGGGGCTCGACGTTGTATGTTTAAAGCCATATTGTTCTGCAAACAGTCTGAATTCACGACTACTATACTGAGGACCATTATCACTTTGCAAAATGAAGGGAATTCCATGCCTGGCAAAAATGCATTTCATGTTCTATATTTGACTTACAGATTTCTGCAGACTTCAACAAACTCCTCCGATTTCTCCTTAGCACTTGGCCATCCTCTGTTTGAATAAGATATGACCTTGGATTTACTTCTTTTAGAACAACAGCTTTCTTTCGCCATCCTGTTGGCTCCTCAACCCTAACCACATCTTGCTCAGAGAGAGGTATCAGTTGCCGAGATCCCTTATCATAAAATTCTTTCTGTTTCCTTTTCTGATGTTGCATCTCTTTCAATGTCAAACTTTTGTTTTCTCTTTTAAGAGACAACTTTGGCAAAGTGTCACGCAGTTTACGGTTCATCAGTATTTCGGCAGGAGATAACCCACAACCAAGTGGGGAGGAACGATAACTCAACAATGCCAGATATTCATCTGAATTGCTTGCAGCTGCTTTTTTCAACAGTCTTTTTACAATTTGCACCCCCTTTTCTGCTTTTCCATTTGCCTTTGGATAAAGGGGGCTCGACGTTGTATGTTTAAAGCCATATTGTTCTGCAAACAGTCTGAATTCACGACTACTATACTGAGGACCATTATCACTTTGCACAATGAAGAGAATTCCATGCCTGGCAAAAATGTGTTTCATGTGATTAATCACATCACTCGTTGTTGTATAACGGAGCTGTTCAATTTCAGGATAATTGGAATAGTAATCAATAACTACCAAAAAATCCTTACCATTCAACTGGAACAGATCAGTTCCTACTTTTTGCCATGGTTGAGTAGGCACATCAGTAATCAGCATTGGTTCTTTTGCCAGTTTATAGTGATGATGCAAACAGACATCACACCTACTGATTAATTCCTCAATATGCATATTAATTCCAGGCCAATAAACAGCTTGTCTGGCTCTTCGCTTGCATTTTTCAATACCAAGATGCCCTTCATGAATACGACGAAGCATATCTTGACGCATTGATACTGGAATAACAATTCTATTGTTACGCAACAACAAGCCATTACACACACTCAGTTCTGCCCTCATTGGAAAATACTATGTAAGAAATTATAGTCTGCCTCGACCAAACTTCCACTCCAATTAAAACTATTCTCCTTTCTCTACAAAGAGCTTAATTATCATAGAGATAATTCTTTAAATAGTATCTTTAAGTTTAAAGTTTCTAAAGTAACTGAAACTTGTTGTTGGTTTCTTATAATTCTGTTAAGATTCTAAAGTAATTGAATCAACCCGACGCAGTGTGGTGGCAGAGTTGTATTAGATCTGTTGTGTCTGAAGTTGTAAGTTTCTAACATAATTGAAACTGACTGTGAAGATGTTATAATTCTGATTGAATTCTAAAGCAACTGAATTGATCCGACGTAGTGTGATCACAGAATTATTTCATGATAGTTGTGTTAAGGATTAAATTCTCTTCCAGTGACTCAGCATCAGTGTGGAAAAGTCTAAAAGAAATCACCAATTACAAGACACCATCCCCCAGCACTGCGGAGAATCAACACCTGGCAGACGATCTGAACGAGTTCTACTGCAGGTTTGAAAAAACACCCCAC